TTCTGTCTCTTATACACTAGGAACGTTCTCCCAGTACACTAAATTAAACCTATGGCATTCCAAATTATTCTGGATAAATCATTTGGCTTATTTATTGAGGCACGCCTCTAAAGTTTAGTTTTGGCCTTCCTGTTTACTTGTTTAGTCTGTTTATTCTAATCCCACCTAGCCTAGCCTATTGTTTCTAATCATGCTTGCATGAAATTCTCACTTTATACTATCTGGCTTTTTCAACCCTCACTCACTCGCCACTGAGGAAGGACTAGTGTTGTCTCTTATACACATCTAGATGTGTATAAGAGACAGGACTAGTGTTGTCCGAAAGCTCTGGTTCTATTTTTGGCTGTTTACTTACGTTTACTTTTTAGCTGTTGCTTATCATTTTTGTATCTCTACTGAGATCCAGCCATTGTTTCCCACAGCATTGTTGTTTTCCAGTATTTTGCCTTTTAATATATATATATATATATATATATATATATAAGTTAGAAAGGCAAATGGGAAAACCCATAAAACAGCAAAAATTTGCAAAAAAAAAACAATTTAAAATTAAAACGGAACAGTAGAGAAAATCCGATCAGAATGACAAAATAAACTAAGCATCCACTGGAAGGAATCCCAATATCTGCAGACGGATCCGTTTCGGCCTTCCAGGCCTCATCAGTGCAGCTAGGGTACAGACCCAAACGAAACGTTCGACCAGCTTAGGCAGGGCCCAAACTAGTCCCACGACCACTAATGATTACAGAGCCAAACCAAGGCAATATATATGTCATTCTTAACGCGTCCTACAAAATTCATCGAGACAGCTAGTCCGTGAATTTGTGAACAAGATCGGAGATCTAAAGAAGCAATCTCTACCGTGCATCAATGGCGCCGCTGGATCTCAATAGAGATTCTTAAATAATATAATATATAAGTTAGAAAGGCAAAAGGGAAAACCCATAAAAAAGCAAACGGCCATATAATGCAAAACAATTTAAAATTAAAATTAAAACGGAACAGTAGAGAAAATCCGATCAGAATGACAATAAACTAAGCATCCACTGGAAGGAATATATATATATATGTACATATATATTTATATATATACATATATAACAACAAAGAATTCTCAATAAAAATTTAAAGATTTGAGTCTTGAACACAGTATACAGTAATGCGGAACTATTAACAAATGCAGGTAAATGTATGAATTAGGGCAATAAAATAATTTAGCAAGTCACTTTGAAGTTTCCAAGCCCTTTCAACAATCCCTGTAAAGCTTCAACAAAACCAGTGTTAGGACCCTGAAAACCCAGGAATACTAACTGAAAGCAAGTGTCCTAACCACCAAGCTATAAGGAAACAAGGAATATTTATCAACAATACAAAATGATACAGTCAAAACTTGGTCAAGGTCTAATAACAGTGGGTTGATAGATAAAAATTAATATGTTATATTACAGATATTAAACAAACAAACTAAACATCAAACATACAAACCAAAAAAATTAATGCAAAATGATGCCGTGAAAACTTGGTCAAGGTGTTAAAAAACAGTGGGTTAAATATACATAAAAATTATTAATATGTTATATTACAGACATTAAACTAACTAAACATAAAACATACAAACCAAAAAAATTAATGCAAAATGATGCCGTGAAAACTTGGTCAAGGTGTTAAAAAACAGTGGGTTAAATATACATAAAAATTATTAATATGTTATATTACAGACATTAAACTAACTAAACATAAAACATACAAACCAAAAAAATTAATGCAAAATGATGCCGTGAAAACTTGGTCAAGGTGTTAAAAAACAGTGGGTTAAATATACATAAAAATTATTAATATGTTATATTACAGACATTAAACTAACTAAACATAAAACATACAAACCAAAAAAATTAATGCAAAATGATGCCGTGAAAACTTGGTCAAGGTGTTAAAAAACAGTGGGTTAAATATACATAAAAATTATTAATATGTTATATTACAGACATTAAACTAACTAAACATAAAACATACAAACCAAAAAAATTAATGCAAAATGATGCCGTGAAAACTTGGTCAAGGTGTTAAAAAACAGTGGGTTAAATATACATAAAAATTATTAATATGTTATATTACAGACATTAAACTAACTAAACATAAAACATACAAACCAAAAAAATTAATGCAAAATGATGCCGTGAAAACTTGGTCAAGGTGTTAAAAAACAGTGGGTTAAATATACATAAAAATTATTAATATGTTATATTACAGACATTAAACTAACTAAACATAAAACATACAAACCAAAAAAATTAATGCAAAATGATGCCGTGAAAACTTGGTCAAGGTGTTAAAAAACAGTGGGTTAAATATACATAAAAATTATTAATATGTTATATTACAGACATTAAACTAACTAAACATAAAACATACAAACCAAAAAAATTAATGCAAAATGATGCCGTGAAAACTTGGTCAAGGTGTTAAAAAACAGTGGGTTAAATATACATAAAAATTATTAATATGTTATATTACAGACATTAAACTAACTAAACATAAAACATACAAACCAAAAAAATTAATGCAAAATGATGCCGTGAAAACTTGGTCAAGGTGTTAAAAAACAGTGGGTTAAATATACATAAAAATTATTAATATGTTATATTACAGACATTAAACTAACTAAACATAAAACATACAAACCAAAAAAATTAATGCAAAATGATGCCGTGAAAACTTGGTCAAGGTGTTAAAAAACAGTGGGTTAAATATACATAAAAATTATTAATATGTTATATTACAGACATTAAACTAACTAAACATAAAACATACAAACCAAAAAAATTAATGCAAAATGATGCCGTGAAAACTTGGTCAAGGTGTTAAAAAACAGTGGGTTAAATATACATAAAAATTATTAATATGTTATATTACAGACATTAAACTAACTAAACATAAAACATACAAACCAAAAAAATTAATGCAAAATGATGCCGTGAAAACTTGGTCAAGGTGTTAAAAAACAGTGGGTTAAATATACATAAAAATTATTAATATGTTATATTACAGACATTAAACTAACTAAACATAAAACATACAAACCAAAAAAATTAATGCAAAATGATGCCGTGAAAACTTGGTCAAGGTGTTAAAAAACAGTGGGTTAAATATACATAAAAATTATTAATATGTTATATTACAGACATTAAACTAACTAAACATAAAACATACAAACCAAAAAAATTAATGCAAAATGATGCCGTGAAAACTTGGTCAAGGTGTTAAAAAACAGTGGGTTAAATATACATAAAAATTATTAATATGTTATATTACAGACATTAAACTAACTAAACATAAAACATACAAACCAAAAAAATTAATGCAAAATGATGCCGTGAAAACTTGGTCAAGGTGTTAAAAAACAGTGGGTTAAATATACATAAAAATTATTAATATGTTATATTACAGACATTAAACTAACTAAACATAAAACATACAAACCAAAAAAATTAATGCAAAATGATGCCGTGAAAACTTGGTCAAGGTGTTAAAAAACAGTGGGTTAAATATACATAAAAATTATTAATA